TTGCCAACTTTAGCATTATTGTAGAAGAAAAACCGACCTCAAGTCATCGAAAAACCGACTTGATATTTTCCTAGATAATTCTCCATTGTTCAATAAAATCGTCTCATCACGCTATTAATCTAATAAATATAAATATAAATAAGTTGATCAAATCCGTTTATCAACAACACTTTAATATATATGTATAAATGGTACTTTTTGTAATAAACTTGAATAAAATGTGTTACTTAAATATCTAAACAATTTAAAAATTCAAATATTTAAATTAATTAATAAACAATTTATAAATCTCTATTTTATTTAAATATGTAATATTATTTAAAATAATTTTAAATATAAAAATTTATTTAGAAAATCGTATCGATCCTACCAGTTCAACCAACTGGTATTGACAGATTCAATGACAAATATTTTATTCAAGTGAACTAGATTGATTATAAACTGGTTCTCGGTCCATTAGGTCGGACTGTGTTCAACATGGTTTAATTTAAAAACGATGAATAAATCTTGATTAATTTATTTGTAAATTTAATTTATAACACAATCGTAATTTTGTTTTTCCGTGCATTGCACGGGCCACCCACTTGTTCTGTAGAAACTAATCCGTGTATATTGTGTATATTTTCCTCTTGTGTTTTCTCATCAGTTTACGGCCGTGCAATTTGCAATGTCTATGTTTTGTTTTTCCTTTTTGTATTTTTCTCATACCTTCTAAATTTCAAATTAGATATCAACATGTAATTTTTTTTTTTTTTTTTCCTCGATACCAACAGGTAGTCACATGGCGGATTCTTTGGTGAAAACACACTTGCCTTGTGTGTTAATCCAAACTTAGTTTAATAAGGTAACTAAATTTTATATGTTATCAATATATAAGGCAATTCAATATGCATCCCTGCAATTAAGATACTACAACTCATAATTTAATTTTACAATTTTTAGGAATCGTGTAGTATGTTGTATACAATTTCGCCTATTTAATTAACAATAACTTGGCCCTTACCAAGAACTCACATCACAGGCCACAGCCCCTCCCCTCTGTCTCTCACCCTCCGAGAACTCACGCAGCCCGTCGTCTCTCTAACCAGGTAGCACACTTGTAAAATCTCTCTAACCAGGCAAGTCACCATTGTCTCTCTTCTCCTTCACCCCTCTCGTTTACCGTCTGAGCTCTCACGGTGGTCTCGCTCGTCGTCACCGGTCTTGCCCTAGTTTTTCATACTTTCTGAAATTTCATTCTTGTGTTTATTCCTAGGAACCATGTCCGGATTGGGTCAGCCTTCTCCTCCAGGTATAACATCATCATCTGCTATTTTTATAATTTTGTATGTCGGTTTGACTTCACTTGTCTTGTTAATAATTTTTTTTCCCCCTCTGAAATTGTAGATGTTGCGGATTGCATGGAAAAGTTGCAGCTTGATCCATCTGGTATACTTTTTATTATTATTATTATTATTATTATTATTATTATTATTATTATTATTATTATTATTATTATTATTATTATTCTTACACTTTCCATGTCTGAATTTTTTCCCCTGTTGGCAGAATAACATTTTTCTCTTGTTCCTATCTAACTTTCGTGGTGGGTGTCAGGTTTAATTGAGGAAGAACAAACTGTGTCACTTCAAGCAGTGCAAGTTGAATCAGATAATTTCATAGAAGGTTGGCTTTTCGAAAAACTAGATTATGACTTATAATGTGAGGTGCAATATACTTCATACGTGTAGCTAGCAAATATTAATTGGTTAAGTCGTTTCAGTATTTACATATGTTAATATTTCTTGTACTTTAATCTGTCATTTGGTTGTGCTACGGCCAGATCCTTTGTTTTCTCTTACAATACTATGTAATTTTCTAGCTCCCTAGGTTATGTCCATGATATAAGCAATCCTTTTCTTGTTTGTTTGATTGTAGAGTTAATAATTTTGTTTTTGTTTAGCTCAGACTGTTGTGAAATAATGTTTACCTTTTTCTTTATATTAGCTTTCAAGAATGTTTATCAGAGTATTTAAGCCTGTCATTTATCTGGGAGTTTTTTTTTTCACTCTCTTTTCTCCAGGTCTGGCTTGATTTTCTGCTGTTACATATAATTTCACCAGTTCTTTGGATCATTATTTGTTTATACAATCTTAGTAAACATGATTTTTTTTGCCGAACTTCTACATTTTTCCCCTTCCCTAATATTTCCTATGCATGCCTCATGAAAAAGTCGACTACTGGAAGCCACATGAAATACTAAACGTTCGGTCGGCGAACATATTTCCACCCAATTATAATTTTCGTAAGGTGTGCTCCTGCGATGAGTGTAGCGCCGTCATTGATGAGCTCAATGACTTCTCTGAGAGCACAAGATCCCTACTTGAGGGTATAATGGTATATATACAAAAAACTTACACGTGTTAACATGTATTGATGGTATATTCACATTTTTATTGACTCTAGCTTTTTGTTTATGTAAACAGGACATTACATCCTTTATCTCCCATACAGTTGACCACTGTTTTTATCTATCACTAGCATGTGACTGGTCAGCACGGACACTCCACAAGTTTCGGATTTTGCTCAAAGAAGAGAATGAGGTGTGATTCTTTTTCATGGTTAGTGCTGACATAGATTTCATGCATCTCTAATATTTTCCTATGTTCACCAGAAGCTAGGAGTTCAATTTACTCTTCAAGAAAATAAGTTTCGACAAAAACATATTGAAATACAAGAAGTTATAGTTGAGAGTGGCATCGTGCCTGTTTTTGAGATCAATAGAGCTGAGGATGAGATCGATCCATCATGTGAAGTAGAGCCTATACGTTTTGACATCGGCAGCCGTGGGGTAAGATAAACTTTTGGATGGTCTAAATTTCCTTTGTTTCTTGAATTTTTTTTTTTTTTTT